GGAGCCGCCCCGGGACGGCCCTGGGCTGCAGCTCCAGCTGTCCCCGTGCAGCCCAAACCCGAGGCTGCTCGAAGCGGCAGCGTGGGCAAGTAGAGAACTCGCGTCGGGAGCAGCTGATAGAACAGCCGACGTGCCCAACTCTGCTTTTTGAAGCACCCCAAACGACTTTTGCAGGTCCAAGGGCTGCTTCCACGTCATCAACGCGCGAGTCACCTCTACTCCTTGTCCTGCGGAGCTCGAAGTAGGAGCGCGACTGGGAGTGGGTTTGTTCCGCACTGCCGAGGTGCATCCATTGGAAGGGCTGCAGCAAAAGGGCCGTTCGGGCGTTTTCCTGCAGAAATGGGTTTTCTCCTCTGGAGTAGTGGTGTTGTCTAAGGGCGGCTGCCTGTGTGTATATGTCTACTCTTGCCAAAGAGAGATAAAGATCCTAATATTTACAAATATTTTAAATACTTTAAATCTCCGCTTTTTTTGTGGAATTTGGTGTTTGGTGCCAGCGGTGTTGGATTTTACTGCAATCTGTTGTATCTTGTTGCTGTCCAAGATAGTGAAATCTCCCCAGAGCTCATAAAGAAGCGAACAAAAAAGGATGCTGTTGGTACTGCACTAAGGTTCTGCTTGTGTGCATGGTCTGTGGGCCCCTGCTCCCCAAAGAGGGGAACAGGAGAGTGGAGGCTATCGGTGAATCCTAAGATGAGGCTCAGTCAAATAATACAGAAAGTATTTGCTAATAAAAGATGATTTTTTCCATGCTATTTCTTGGGCCAATAAGCAGAGGAAGTGGAGAGAATCGATTCTCCCTGTTCATGCTTGTGTGCAATCAGGCCACAAAATTCAAAACACATGAGGTTGCAGCGAGCCCCGCTTGGCCCTTTCGAGAGGGGCTCCGTTCCCCGGCTGTGTTTGGGCCCAAATAATGACCTCTGTAGGCAAAGCAGGGCCGGCTGCGTTTCCTAACGGGAATGCCCTTCTGTAGGGCGTAATGAGCTGCTAACAGGGAACAGCATCGTGCGAAAAGCTGCGCGTTCCCCGGGATGCGGTCCTGATTTGAAACCCACCCGTAAATTATTTGGCATTGCAGGTTTCAAGGTCAGGATTGGTCATCAGATATATATATTTTTTTCCCAAAACAATGTTTTTGGCAGATTGGAATTTAAAATAGGAAAAAGAAAAACTGACTTGCCTGGCATTTGGGGAGTTCTGTAGAAGGTAGAATGGCCGCTTGCATCCCCAAAAGGGAGAAGGCGGCTCGGACAAGGCAAGGGGAAGAATCGCGTTGATCCTCGAGACCTTCTTACTGAGGCTCCCGATGGAAAGTGCCCCAAGTCCTGTGGACAGTCCGGAATTGGTGGGTTGAGCCAAGTTTTAGCCGAGTTTTGGAGGGATTAATGGCAGAGACGGGCGCTGGCGTTGGCTGCCGGGCGACGGGCTGTGCTGCGAGAAGGAGCTTTTTGCTGCATGTGAAAACTTTATTAAACGTATATTACAATCCCGAATATTATTTTAGCTGCAAGTTCAGCCTTCAGTCTGTCCAGCTTCTTAGGTTTGATCATATTCCAGGGACTTACTAAAACCATGCTAAGAATTTCAGCAAAACTCTATGGAACACTTTTATTAAATTCTTTCAGTCATGCAAGCTAAATTAAATGACAGCTCTGTTCACCAAAAGATTACAAATATCAGTGAGGCTTCTCCCCTAAACTCATAAAGGAATTAAATGCTTTTTTTTCTGAAAGTCTTCTATGCCCCTTAATAATCTACTCGGCTGTTCTCTTTATGTATTTTTGAAGTATGTTGAAAGGGATGATTTTTGCCCTAAAGGAGCACAGCACTTGTATCTCACTGTCCGTATTTTATCTGGGCACAATTTTGGTATTGCTCAAATTGATATTTGCAATCCCGGGAGCATAGTTTCCAAAATGAGGAAATGGCTATTAAGCTGCAGTTCAAGGAACGGAACACAATGCTGACATTTTTCAAGACCTGGAGATTAATGGTTTTTTTTTAAAAGTGCATTGCAGCTCCCACCATTGAGGTTAAAATAGGAACAAGGAGCCCGGGTGGGTTGGTGGGAGCTCCGAGGAAAGCAGAGCTTAAGCAAGAGGCATTGCAGAACTTTGGACGGAGATAACGTGGCCTGCGGACACACCGGGGGAGCCGCGTACCTGGGCGCAGACTGCACAGCTTGTTCCCGGGTTTGCATCGGCTCCATTGGTGTGTTTTTACCTCATTTTTATGGCTTTTGTGGAGCAGAGCAGATACGACTGCAAACTCAGAGCTGGATGAGTTGTGATTAAGCTGAGACCCGATCCCCGGGCTACGTATTTTCCTGCCTCTCGGCATCGGCTTCAACCCGCAGGACACGAATAAACTGTAATGCTAGGGTAGCAGTTGGCTGCGGTTGCTATTTACGGACGGAGAAGCTACGTTCAGGCCACCAAATGTAATTTCCTAAAGCGCCGGGGCCGTCGTGGAGGTTGTAACACGAGAGCGGCGGGACTGCAAGAAAGAGCAGGAAAAATCCCCCGGCTTTTCCTCGACGTTCCCGTTTTGCCTCCGTGCTCCGCTCCGCGTGGCCGGGAGGGCGCGGGGCCGGCTCGCGTCGAGCCATTTGGTTCTCATTACGTTCTGCTGCCCTCGTGCAAGCAGGGAGGTATGTGGGCACTGCCGTGGACGGGGAGAGCCAGATGCTGCAAGCGTTCCTCCCAGGCTGCAGAAACTTCAGCAGCTAAATATTTTAGGAACTGTTTCCTAAGGCTTGCTTAATAGTTTAAAAATATAACCTAGATTCCAGATATTAAAAAATGCCTTGAAAGGCACGCATATTGCTGCAATAGCTGGAGCTAACCAAACCCCTGAAGTATGCAGAAAGCTTCCATTTTGCAATATCTTCTGTTACTTATCCTTTTTGCTATTATTATTTTTTTAATGCTGAGATTAAATCCAATAAGGCCTTTAACAGGGGAGTGGCAGCAAAACAAATTTTCAGCGTATATTAACCAGCTGATTCCCGCGTTTTCGAAATGATTCTGGGTTTACGATGAAGTCACTGGATTATTTTAGCGATAACAAAATGGGAAAAGGCAGCGGGAAGGGGCACTGCTGTCTCCCAGCGCGTCCATCCCTTCGGTCCCTGCGGAAGGACGGCGTGGGGAGCTCCCACCGCGCGTTGGCTTCGCAGTCCTGGCTTTGCATCCCGTGGAGATGCCCGAATCCCCTTCCCAGGGATGCAGAGCCCATCCTGGCTAGCTAGGACTTCATTTTAAAGCATTTTCCGTGTTTTTCTGCTCACAAATCCTGGAGTTGCTTTGCGTAGATGGCTGATGTTCATTGTTGTGCTTTGCCTGCCAAGATTAAGTCATTCCCGCACCCGTCGCCGTTGGAGCGCTGGTTTCTATGGACCGCTCCGCAAACGCAGATCGGAGGGGCGGTGGGTCCAGGCCAAGCGTGCAGCTGCGAGCAGGACCCGTTGCGGTGCCATCCTTTGGGAAGGCCGTGCTGGGAGAAGACCCTCCAGACGTGTGAGATGGATTGGGATGCTCAGATCCTAGAGGATTGTTCCCAGCGCGGTGCCGTTCCCCGCGGAAGTGCTGGGCTGTTAACGGGCCGGTTCTGCTGCGATCTCCCATCCGTCTCGTCGCGCTCAGTGACCCCCCGGCGCCTCATGTCTTCCAGCTGCTGCACGGGATGGCTCTGCCGCGCCGAAAAGCTCTGGGCAAACGGGGACGGGGACGGCACCGGGGCTCGGTTTGTCCAGGGCAGCCCCGGGTGGGAGGTGCCGGTCCCAGCGCCCCGCGTGGCTCCTCCAAAGACCAGACAACCCAACCTGGATAGGATCAGCTCTGCGGCTTTGAAGTTTGAGAGGGAAATTTGGGCTCTTAAACGAAGCACAGATGGTTGTAAATTCCCTTCCATTGGTCCGAGATAATTAAAATAGCCTTAATGAAGTGCGACCTGAAATATTAAATGCCAGTTTCATATCAAAGATTATCGACACATTATGTAAAATACATAAAATACATATATCCAAATATCAATTAAGGGGAAGGAAAGGATTTTTAAGTCCTCCCGTCCAGGTCTGAAGGAGAAATATAATTTAGAGAAGGATAAAATACACTTTCTTCCATCCACAAACTAAATATCAGAGCGCATGCTAAGGAAGTGCAGGTGATCCGCGTTGTCCTGCACGGCGGGCAGATACGTGTTTCATTTTCTGCAGTCTTTGTGTCACACCTTCATGCTATTTTAACATGTTTCTAATTTCCTCTTATACCCTTTCCCATAATATCATCACTGATCTCTGGAGCCGTGTATATAATCCTCGCTACCCTTTTTTCTGTCTCTCTAGGCTGCTTTAATCACTGTATTGATCTCTCAGATAACCTGCCTGCCTGGTAATTTAGTCCTCTCTTGTCACTGCTGCCTGTGAACATGTTAAGGAAAGAGGAGTTATCCTCCCCGTGCTGCTCTGCTGGAGGGGATTTGCTGCCGACTTTGTTGCAGGATGGTAGAATATTAACTTGAAATGGGGAGAAGACAGAGGTGGTTTGGGGCTCTGCGTGCCCGGCGGGTTAAACCTTCCAGCTCGCTGGGAATGGTGGGTTTGTGCCATGGATCCGTAGGCACCGGTGCTTTGGAGGAGGCGAGCGGGGCCGTCGGGGTGGCCGCCCTCCTCTCCTCCCTCGTTTGTTCATGCCACGATGCTCCGTTCTGTGTTTGGGCTTCGAGCTCAAAGGCAGAGTTGGTCACACAGTGACACAGTCAGAACTGGTTGGTATTGGATATAAATTGCGACCCTCTGTTCAGGTCTGTCTTTGGAAACGAGCCCAGGAAAAACTGCTGATGGTGTGGAAATACTTTCAGCGTTTCCAGAGTGATATTTCTTTTTACTTTGAAAGAGTATTTTTTTCATTTTTTTTTCCCCTATCGTATCATATGTACGTAACACAAAATAAAAGGGAGCAGAAAGCACTGCAGGGCTCCCTGGGAACGGAGCCGCGAAGGGCCAGGGCAGCCGGCTCCGTGTTCCCGTTTGGCGCCAGGGAATGCTCGGGATGCGGGGAAGGAGAGGGCAGCGGGGCCGAGGAGCACGGGATGGCTCCCGTGGCTCAACGTGGGGCCCGTCTCGAGCATCCCGGCTCAGCCCGGGGACTGCGTCGTTTCATGGGGACCTTGGTCATCTGGGGAGGGTTTCCCAGCCCCGTGATGGGGCAGAAGGGCCGAGTTGGGTTTACGGATACGCTTGGGCTATCCAAGAATAACACGGCAAGGTCTCGCGTGGCCCTGCGGGACCGGCCCCGGCTGCAGCTGGGCTATGAGCCACAGGCTCTTGGCCCTGCCCGAAGTCCCACGGAGCGGGACCAACATGTAAACCAAGACTGTAGTGGGATGCATCAACACTCAACGTGGCAACGCGTGTGCAGCAAGGTGACCCGCGGGGCCTTGGCGGGCGCCCATGGGGTGGCAGGGAGCAGGGGCTGCCCTTGGCCCAACTTGGGTGACCACGTTGTCAGATTGTTGCTCCCTGTGGAGCGTCCGTCCCATCCCACCCCCGTGCTGATCAGTGGGACGTGGCTGTCCCGGCACTCCGAGCTTCTCCCATGCGGATGCCAAAGGCTCTGCCACTTAATGGGAAACGCGCTCCTCGGGGCTGGTCCCACCATGGTGTCCCCTTGGAAGCTCTTGAAACCTGCACACCAAAATAGCATATATTCTTTTAAAGTCAATTTTCAGTACTGACTAGCTTTGATTTATTGCCTGTTGTATAAAGTGTAACCTTTGTTTCCTTTTTATAATGACCCTGTAATAACTGGACAGTCAACTTAAACTTTAATGATTTAAACATACTTGTAAACTGTCAAGTCAAAAGTTTGTGAGTGACTATAAACATATGTTGGTGAGCACTATATGCTAATAAATTCATTATTATGTTGCCCCAGTGGGAAGCACTGGGATGGCAATTTTTTTTTTTATGATAGGTCTTTTATTTTTTGTCACATCTGCAACACATTAAGGATTTTGAAGGCAGATAAGGTTTACAATAAGAGGAGGATTGAAAGCTTTCCAGGTCGGTGAAGAGCCCTTCCTGTTTTTAAATGGGATAGCCGTGGAACTAAAACTAGGGCCGGGTACGGACGTGCACGTGGAGCCGTGCCACACCGGGGCAGAGTACGTCTGCGAAGAAATTATGGTATTTCTCCCCAAATTGTGAGTTGGTGCAAATACATTCCGCGATCTACGCTGAAAACGAGCTTTCCCATGGCTGAAATCAGTTCCCAAAGCAGGCAGATGTGTCACTAATAATGCTGGGCTAATAATGTCACTTAAGGTGCCACTAGTAATGTCACTAATGTTAATGCTAATAATGTCACTTAAGGTGCCACTAATAATGGTGAGTTTTTGGGCAAGAAGCCTGAAAATAAACCTAGGATGCAGGAGATGCCACTGCCCTTGTTGGCACCAAGGCCTGGGGCAGAGAACATGGTTTTTTGGGATGATGTGGTGGCATCTGGCCGCGTCCCCGCTCGAAGGGTTCACCAGGAGGGATAAACCCCTTTGAGGGGCTGGAGCATCACTTGGGAATGTTGTGAGTGATCCAGCAACCAGCGTCGAGGGATGAGGGGGAAGATTTCCCCTTCCAAAATATCCGCATTAGGCAGTAACAAAAGTTGTCTTGGGAACAGATGGATTTGGCAGAGTTAAGTAGAAATAGTTTGTCCTGGGAAGGGAAGTTGGCCTCATCCCATGAGATATGTTATATAGGGATAGTTATATGCAATAAAGATATATGGAGCTGGCCCTGCAGTGTGTGTAGAACAGCTCTGCGGCCTGGCTCTTCCTCTTGCCTAACCTGCACTTGGTTTTGCCTTTCCCATCTCCCTGATATTTGGAAGGGGAGCTTGGAATGGGGACCAGCAGTGGCCCCTCCGCTAGCCCAGCAGGTTTGCCTTAAAATACTCCTTGGTTCGTTGGAAGACGTCCCTGCCCACGTGAATATTGGGACAGGGACCTGTGGCCGCTGCTTTTCCTGGATCCAGGACTATTACTGCGATGGAAAACACGAGGCGGGACCTGCCCGTGGTGCCTGGCTCCTCTGTGCCCTCGGCAAAGCGGCTCTGTCCTCGTCACCAGGCGAGGTGAGATGTTTCCATCCAAAGGGGTGTCCATCCTGTGTCTTGGTGTTTTCTTTTATGCTAAATGCTTTGAAACTTCTAACCACAACTTTTGTAGCAGCAAATTTTATTTTCTTTCTTCCTTTTCTCTCTCTTTTTTTTTTCCCCAAAGAGGATGCTATCGAGTACTCGACCCCAGAGCAAGACTAGCAGAATCTTGCTGTTTTACAAGGCACTCATCCTGTCCTGAAGCAAAAATGAATAAATAAATAAAAAATGAAGAGGCCAAAGGTCAGCTAGATTAGCCTGATGGCAGAGCTGGAATCGTACCAACTGAAACAGTGCAATAGCTTGATTATTGCTTTTCTATTTTGAGAGTTTCTGTTTGTTGAAATTTCTCCTTTTAATGAAGATTTGGTTGGAAGTCAAGAATTTTTTGTCGCTATGCAAAACCCGAGCTAGAGGTCAGGGAGTCGCATGTGACAGTTGGCTGAAGCTGCAGCTGAGTGGCAAGTTCATTAATTTACTTTGAAAGTCAGCAAAAATGAACTTGTTTATTGACAGACTGGGGAAACTGTTGGTGGCTTTAAGAGATGGGGCCTGCTTGTAGCAGCCTTTGGTTGGCTGTTTTCAGTGCTGTGAGCCTTTTGGGCCTTACAAGGTATTTTATGTGTACCTTTTAAAGGTAAAGCTTTTATGCTGTGAGGTCCTTCAAGGAAGCAATAAATCCCCAACTGAAGAACTAGGGAGTTTGTGTGTTAGAATAGGTTTGCACTTTGGGAGAAGCCACATCTATGCAAAAGCATTAGAATCAGCAAGCATATCCACTGGGTCTATTAATCCCATGTCCTTATTTTGTTTCTTTTTTGCTGTTGTTATTGTTATGCTTCAGGTTGTAGATCTCAATCTGTCTCGTGTCTAAATTTGTCTTGTGTTTTTGGGAAGTGACCTCCACTGCTTCGGTCCGTTTGGACCCAAAGCGACGATGATGGTTCTGGTTTTTGAAAGCTGGGTTGCTCTGGAGATGATCCTCGTCCTGGCTTGTGCCCTGTGCAGGTTACAGAGGTGTTGGGATGAGGTGCCCTGCTTGCTTGCCAAGCCCCTATGTCCTCGTGTTTATAATGGCACCGTGCTGGCAAAACCACCCGATTTGGGCCAGGAGTTTCAGGGCATTTTGTCTAATGCCGGCGTGTCTAAGGAGACACTTCTCACCAGGGTAATTTGGGAGCTGATGTATCTTTAAGTCATTACTGAGAGCAGCGTTTTACATGACTGAACGCATCCAAACAATTCCAAGTATGCAAAAATCTGCCGCCTTGCAGTAGCGATAGTTGTATTTATCTTTAAAGGATGATGAATCTGTTTTCCTCTAGCTGAAAATGTGCGAGTTCTCCCAACGCTGGGAAACTCGCTCCCCAGCTCAGAAACTTTTTGTGCCTTTTTTCCCCTTCTGGGAAACACAAAGCTGTTTAAATAGGTTTGTTTTTAAGGGGCAGCGATAGCGGAGGGTTTCGTGGCGCAGCAGGCCGGGTGGTTCTCCCTAATGGAAGGGCAGGATAAGCTTGCGCAGATAGCGAGGGCAGCGCAGCTTTGTGCAAGCCCAGCCAACTGATAAGAGCGATTAGAGAGATCAATAATGTCACCTCGGTTATAAATGTCACCCCGGGTTAGACCTCAGTGGCCAAAATCACTTTTGTGGCACCCGAGCAGCAGTGCGGGGGA